TTTGGCTGCTGTTACAACCAAATTTCCCCTTGTGGGACAATTAAAGGATTATTCTATTCTATTCTATTCTATTCTATTCTATTCTATTCTATTCTATTCTGTTCTATTCTAAGCTCTCTTTGCCTATTGGGTAATACTTATCAGAGATGAGTTTTTTTAAACAGAGAGCCTTTTCCAGACCTGGAAACATAGCTGGAGACTTGGACAGAGAAACACCGGGGACGATACACAGAATGACTCACAGACAAAGAACAGAGGTAACCACACACTAAAAATACACACAGGGTAACAATCTAACTATACAAGACAACAGGGAAGCAAAACAGAATACATGGCCTGGGACACCTTTTAAGTAAAACAGGAAATACAACTGGCTCAAGGACACGGACTTGAAACTACACAGAGGAGCACAGGGACCAAAACCTCAGAACCAGAGAAACCATCACAATTGCAGTGAAGTGCCAGATAACAACAAAGATCAATAATAATACACTCTGGACCGTGACAGTTATTGGCTGCGAGTTGTGAGAATTTTCTGTGTCATGAAAGTAACTCTCTTTTGACCTGGGTAAATCACCATGGTAACATGCTGAACACATAACCTGATTATATTCAGATTTTTACTTTAAAATCTTTAAACGTGCCTGAGTTTAACAGATTATTTAATTTACAGCAGGGTTTAAGTGAATCAGTCCTGCTTGGTTTACCAGAACCATCTGAAATTTGGTCAGGAAAGCCTTAAAGACTTGGTACTACTGTTTTGAGTAAACTCAGTTTTTTTTCAAATTTACCAAGCGCACCAATTTAGAGAGCCGTTGATAACCGGTGTGAAGGTGCACCAGGGCCACCCTGGCAAACACGCCTTCAAAGGGACCAGGCTCGTCTCCCATAGGGACTCAGTATCAGTTAGAGCTGGACAAGTCTCCTACCCGACTCCATCTAAGCTCTCTTTGCCTATTGGGTAATACTTATTAGAGATGAGTGTTTTTAAACAGAGAGCCTTTTCCAGACCTGGAAACATATCTGGAGACAAACTTGGACAGAGAAACACCGGGGACGATACACAGAATGACTCGCAGACGAAGAACAGAGGTAACCACACACTAAAAATACACACAGGGTAACAACCTAACTATACAAGACAACAGGGAAGCAAAACAGAATACATGACCTGGGACACCTTTTAAGTAAAACAGGAAATACAACTGGCTCAAGGACACGGACTTGAAACTACACAGAGGAGTACAGGGACCAAAACCTCAGAACTAGAGAAACCATCACAATTGCAGCGAAACGCCAGATAACAACAAAGATCAATAATAATACACCCTGGACCGTGACAGTTATTGGCTGCGAGTTGTGAGAATTTTCTGTGTCATGACAGTAACTCTCTTTTGACCTGGCTAAATCACCATGGTAACATGCTGAACACATAACCTGATTATATTCAGATTTTTACTTTAAAATCTTTAAACGTGCCTGAGTTTAACAGATTATTT